CAAGGGTATATGCTCAAGGATCTAAGGACCTCCCACTAGGCCTACCTCTTAAAGGTCCCACCACCTCCCAAATGGGCCAGACTGGGGGCCAATTCACACCTGGACCTCTGAGGCACATCCAACATCCAAACTACAGCAGAGCAATACCTGATTTCAACAGGAAAGGAGAGAACATTCTGAGGTGATGAAAATATTTTATGTTCTAAGGTGATAATGATTATATGACTATACAGTTGTCAAAACTATAACTGGAGATGTTCAAAAGGATTAATTTTACTGTATGTAGATTATACCTCAATAAATATGATTTTTCAAAAAGTACATGCCTAAAAAAAAACAGAATAGAAATAAAAACCAAAAATCAAGTAGAATAAAACAAAGAGTAGAACAAAGAAAAAGAATATGTAGAAAGAACATAAAGAGTTAACTATTTATAGGCTTTTTGTTTTTTTTTTTAAACTTGTGAAACAGAACTGGAATTACTTCGTAGAAGAATATCTTAGAGGAAATGAATGAGAATCTGTTCAAGCACAGCATACTACACATCCTGGTTGTAATGAGTCAACTGCATCCTTATTCCCCTTTTGATAAAACTAGTGTCTCATACCAGTCTATCACCCCCATTTTTGAACTGCAGGCTTTGTTTCCAATACAAACATTTCACAAAATAAAGAAATTTGAAAGCGTATCATAAGGAAGAGATGCACAAAACACTTTAATACATTATTTCTTTTAATCACATAATCATTCTATACTTGGATTTTATTCCCCATTTTAATTAGTTAAAGAAGCCAAATTTGGTAATTAGTCCAAAGAAACCTTTTGGTCATAAGAAACAGAACCAAGATCTGAACTCAGGTTTAACTTTGGAGCTCCTTAAAAAATAGTAAATGGTACATGTTTACTATTAAAAATGGTCAATAAAAATTGACATATATGAAGCTTAAAAGACCTTCAGGAAAAGAAAAAAACTAAGAAAACAAGCTTCTTGGTAACTAATTCAAGCAAGCAGATCTTGAAGATTATGGGTACTCCTCGCTTTAAGATTACAGAGATTACAGTAAACCTCAAATTTTAGAGTTGCTTTATAAATATTTAGCAATCATGTTCCTGAAAATTCTACACAAAATAAAACGTATCACGTGTGCAATTTTCCTATGCCCATAGCATGTGATAAAATAAATCAGATATGAATCAGAAGACTTGGGTCTAACCTTAACTGGTACTTTGTTTCAGGTGTTGGACTATGTACCCCTCAAATTCATGTTCAAGTCCTAACGCACAGCTCTCAGAATATGACCTTATTCAGAAATATAATTAGTTAGGATGAGGTCACACTGGAGTAGGTTGGTTCCCTAATTCATTATGATTGGCGTCCTACATAAAAACAAGAAATGTGAACACACATATATGATAAAAGTAGCATTTCAAATGGGAGGGAAGGTAAATAATTCAACTCATGATACTAAAATACAGGGTTGGTCATTTGGAAAAAAAATTAAAAGCTACATCTCATATCATTCCTTAAACTGAAATAACTCCAATAGAAATAAATTTCAACTATAAATTCTACCTGAAAATACAGATTCGTCTATATAGAGATAACATCTTTGAGGGGAAACACCTTTTGTGAACATCACCAAATACAGAAGCCATAAATGAAAAAGTCAATAAAGATAAGTAAAAGTTTTTAATTTCCAGATGGTCTAATGACTACAAAAAATGAACAGAGAAGAAACAGACAAATGACAACGTGGGGAAAATATTACAAACATGACAAATGGCTGATTATATATCCCTTTTGAAAGGGAATTTAACAATAACAAATACACGTTTGTAGCAAAACAAAATTAGATATGATCTAATAGGGAAGAAAAGGGAAGGAACAAATAAGTAAGATATAGGACATACATATGACTCAACAGAATGTAGTAGTTAAAATCTAATGTGTATTAAAAAAGGGCAGAACCATAGGTTTAGTGTGTTACTATTTGTGTAGATTAAAATGAAGAAGAAACAAAGAAATGCTTGTATAGGTATGTAAACATTCAGAAAGAACAATCAGAAGTTTACCTGTTATTTTTTTTGAGTGGCAAGTGAAGTAACTTTTAAATAACATGAATTGTATTTAAAAAATCAAAAAAACAGAACAGTTCAAATACTCCATAAACATTTGCTTTTTTGGTTTGTTTTGAAACAGGGTCTTGTTTTATAGCCCAGGCTAGCCTTGAACTCTAGGATCTTCCTTGCCTCAACCTCTTATGTGGTAGTATTATAGGCATGTACCACCATACCCAGCAAACATTTGCTTTAGGTTACAATAAAAAATCTTGTACATACTTGTAAGTTTTGTAGCAGGGGCTGGGTTTTAAGCAAGTAACTACCAAACTGTAATAATTGAGAAATTCAACTTATTCCTATAAACATTTTTTCTACACAGCTCTATTTGTTTTAAATAGAGTGAAGGAATACTGTTTTTCCTCTCATCTATTTACTGGAGTCCCTTCACCTTAAACTAAATAAACTCTTGTATAATATATTTTGTTCCTTGAAATTATTTCAACCAATTTATTATCACATAGCTAAAAAACATGACTTTTACATATTGACAATGACTCATTAATGTTAAAATAGGAATGAATTAGGTTAACAATGAATTGGGTGCTCTAAAAAAAGGTGGGCTCAAACACTAGGTTTACCAACAAATAATATTTAGTAATGGTTACAGTAAAATTACAACTCTTCAGGTCCAAATTTCTTCATACATTAATACTATTAATTTCATAAAAGTGTGCCATGTGAACAAATTCAATGTTAATATTTATTCTTTGTCTTCAGAGATGAAGTGGTACAGTAACAGCCCATATTAAGGATAAAAATGGCAAAGGGATACCTCTAAATTTCAGCCTGAGAAGTTCACTGTATTCATTTATACAGACACTGTGGACCAAACAAAGACTGAAAATTGAAGAAATTCAGGATTATAAATGTTACTATTTCTTCCTACATCTGTTTCACTATGCCTAAACACCACCACTTAGGTTCTGTTATCTGCTTCATCTTTTTATCTTTTTTACTATTACTTAGCCCAATGAATACTTCCTCTGGTCACTTCTAAATCCCTCCTTCCAAAGTAATCAAACCTTTTCACATTCCTATCATTTCTTTGAATATGCACCACATTGAAAGCACGAAAATTCTGCATACAAGTACGCAATAACTAAAACATCTACAATGATTATCAGTTTTCTTCCTGAGCTGATGTAATGAAAATGGTCTATTAAAACTTTTCTTTTATTCAAATAAGACACGTACTGCGACTATAGCCTACAATTTAAGACATGATAACTTAATTTAAACTTACAGAAACCAGCATGGGTACTCTAGGAATACTACTGAATAGGAAACAATAAAGATAAATTTTAATTCTCCCTAATTTTCATATCAACCCTCAACATATTATTTTCAAAGAGTCAAACACTATAATTAATAAACACTTGTTAATATTTAAAAGAAGGGGAGGAATGAAAGACCACAGAAAGACGCTGCAAGATCGTATTCTGTCTGCTGACATAAATAATGATCTTAAAAAATGAAAAACACCCAAAATATTAAACTAGATACAATTTCAAAACACACCATAACATACCACATACCAGTCCAAATAAATACTGAGCCTTCATGTTCAAAATATTCTTTTGAAATTACCTCTAGAATGGGGAGTAGTGGCTTTATTATTAACACTTTCAAATAATTCTTACTTTATTAACTTGATATTCAATTAAACTTTTGTTTTCAAACTCTTGAGTATATAAGGGAGGCAGAATGTACACAAAATGCAAAAATACTGCAAAAATTTCCTTAATATATAAATGCTAATATAAATGATATGTAAGCCAAATTTAGGTAGTAACAGAAGATGGGTTCTTCTGTGTAGTGGTTATCATGTTTGCCTCGACAGTAACAGAAATCCCAAGAACACTTTCTGTTTTTATAAGCAATATAAATTTTATCGTAAGAAAATATGACTTTTCTTTGAATGGGTCAATAAACTCTAAGTATTTTTGTTTTGGCACAACCATTTTTAGATTTTAAGTGGAGTAGCGCCCTTAACGGGCCTCCATTTTAAATGTCCTATCTTAGCCAACATCTTTTCTCCCCCTTTATTGAATATGCTCATGCATGCTAACCACTCTCAACTAGCAAGCTATTTTTGTTATTATAATCACACACTCTGATCCTAGTAATGGAGTTACATGCTTAAAAAGTCAATTATTTGTTCCCAAACCTGTGTATGCCAATTTACTTGCCCTTACATGACTTAACATTACTTATATTAATTAACTAACTTCAGTTAAGTCTATGTACTACAATACAAAAGTGTTATTTCTATGCAAACTAAGTAGAATGCTTCAATAAAAGTGAATTATTCTTTTAAAAGGTGACATAATTGAAAAATACTAGGGAAAACTCATAAAAGTGATTTTCAGAAAGAGCCTATTACTTAGGGTTTTCAAAAGTATCTTTAAACTTTTATTCCAAAAGAATATTTGAGAAATCGAAACTGCAAACTAGAGACCATGCATTATGGATATACTTAACAGAGGAACAACTTCCCTCAACTCCAAAAAGAAATGGTATCAGCTCTATATGAAAAAGTTGGCAAATGAATGTTTACATATAAAAAAACTTAAGTTTTAAATAAGAAAAGTATTTTTTATAATTTTTCAATAACCTACCCAAGTAATTATCCCAATCTCAGATATAAAATATCCTAACATCCCTTAAACTGGTTTGCTATACCAATTAAATAAATCCTATATGTCTATACAAAAGAGTAGCCTATAATAATAAGCACTCTGAAATAAGTTTCTGGGGAAAAAAAAGTATTAAAATGTATGCTCCACAGATATACACAGATGTATCCTAAGCATCTAGAATAAATTCCTGGTGTACAGATGATTTTCAGTGACTATCTTGAGTTAAGAAGAGGAACTTACCGTGATGACAGCCTTGCTTAGACAAATGGATCCCCTGCAGCCATATTCTGTCTCATCTTCAGATTTGTAGTAACTCAGAGTATTATTTTTCAACACTACCCAACGATCTTGCCACCCATGAATGTAGTTTGTCCACTGGAAGTGGGAAGGAGAAGAGAAAGGAAAATAAAAAGTATTTTAGAAATCCAGATTTTCAGCAATCTAATTTTAAAATCAAAATGGGAGAAGTCCTAGCTTAATTATAAGCATAAGTACTAAAATAAGTATTAAAAAGTAAAAAGCTAAGATTTTTCTAGATTGTATAAAGATTTTCAGTAATTTTTAAATTTTTAAATAAAAATACCTAAAAAGTAAAACACATTTTCTTCTCTATTTATTTGAAGAATAAAACAGAAGCAGGATTTTGGCTAAAATCTTTTGTATGCTTTTGGTCTCCTCTCTTTAACACTTTCATGACATTTAAGTTGTTCTGGTTCCTGTCATTAATTAATATATCTAACAGAAAACTAAGTTTGGTTATATACTCTGTCTCCTACTCCAAGAACTTGCATAAAGTCTCCTAAACCTAGAAGTGTGATGCCAATCATTGCCAAAATTCTATTTTCTGTTATAAGTTATTTCCATGTACTCACAGCTACAAAGTAAAAAAACTAGACTATTAATCTGTAAGTCTACATCAACTTTAATTTCTCCCCACAGAACTCAATTCTACCTATTTAAAATGGTTAATTCAGTTTCCAAGTTTCCCTGAGTTTGTATATTTTTTAAACTCAGGAGTAATAATATAAACATAAAACTGGCTTTCAAAAATGTAGTTGGATTATCTGTCTCTAGTACTGTAGTTAAAAATAATTTCTGTGTTGCTAAAGTCTTGATGCACAATGATCACAATCAATACAGTAGCAAAGTTAGAAATGTAACTTCTATGGGAATACTTGATTTTGCATGTTTTAATTTATGCTGTAGGGTTTTATGTATAAACAATTCCAAAAATGATCTGCTAATTCCAAAAATTAACTCAAAAGAGATTGTTAAAACATAGCTCTAGTTCAGGCTAACTCCCCTTGAGAAACCTATTTTCCTATTCCTTAATTCAGCATGTTTGAGATTGGTTCAGCTCTTAAATCTTCTAAGCCCCATTATTACAACTCCTCTCTAAGAGCTCACCCATGCCAACAATTTAACTCATTCTTTTCTATGGGCTCTCTAATCATTATTTCCTTCTTTCTAACTGCTTGTGACTTATCACCACTTAGACAGTAACTTGAAATAAATGATGGTTACAAACAAAACTAAACTCTCCTCCTCCTATAAAGGTATACTTCCTATGCTCCTATTTTCTTAGCTCTACTGCTACTTTTAACAGTTGTGCAGACTCAAACCTGGTTCAGAGTGTCTGTATCATACAACAAAATAGTGGATACAGGATGAAACAGACTCAACTAGCTTACTACTTGTGCCAGAGTTTTGCCATATTGCTTAACTTTTGTATGGTTCTGTTTCTTTGTCTGTTGTTTGAATAGCTGAATAATGAAAATGCTTAGCATAGTCATACAGGATACTCAATACTTTACTGTTCCTTTTCATTCCTTATAGCTCATCACCAAATCCTACTAATCTTTTCTTTAAGTTACACCCTTAAATTTGCCTCCTCTTCCCAATTTTTAATAATTGCAATCAATTATTACAATTATTAATTAATAATTAATATTTATTATTAAATTAATAATAAATATTATTGTATTAGGTTCTTGAATTCTTGAGAAGGCTTAATAACCTTGCCTCTAGTTTCTTCTGCTTTTTCATAATTTACATAATCTTATTTACTTATTAAGCATACTGGCTTACTTACGTTACATATTAATCTTATTGAGACTCAAACTCCCAAACTTACATGGACACCTTCCCACTGCCTATTATTGCACTGATGGACATTTAAGACCCTCTTCCCTTGCTTCCCATTACTACCTTTCATGAGGCTAGTATCTGTGTAACTTTGGTCAAGTTAACATCTGTGTATTAGTTTCTTTCTCAATTCTATCTCTTAGAGTTAAGATTAAGTAAGAACAGACTTAGAACAGCACCTGGTACATAGTATTTCCCAGCCTGAGGCAGAGTTATACATAGCTAATAAAGCTTAACCTCCAATGTGACACACTCAAGCAGATCTCCTTTCCAAAGTGACAGGAGGGGACCCTTTCTATAAGTTTATATTATTTTCTTATAGAGGAAGCAACAAATTACCTAACCTTCAGAACTCTTGATTCAAAAATGTTAGCTGCTATTATTATGCATAAAAGGCAGGCTTTTTGCCTTTTCTCTGTTTTTATGATACTCATTCCCTTACTTCCCCATTTAATAAATACAGACGCGGCTATAGTCTAGATATTGCAGGACAATCAAAGATTCCTATTGCCTACAGTTCAGCAGTCACAAATTCAAAAGAAAAAATGTATTTAGAATAAGAATCAGAACCAAGTTTTAAACAAAATGTTATGGGAATTCAAGGGAAAGAGATCTTGAATGAGATGCAGTGGAACATACTTGTAATCCCAGCATGTAGGAGACTGAGGTAGGAAGATTATGGAGTTCAAGGCCAGCCTGAGCCACATAGCAAGACCCTATTAAGTTAGGAAGGGAGGGAAGGAAGAAAGGAAGGAAAGAAGGAAAGGAAGAAAATGAGATGGATTCAAGGGTAGAATTTCAGCTAACAGGTGTGCGAGAGAGAAGGTAAACCAGGATGTAAGGAGGAAATTCAGAACTTGGGTAAGGTTTATTTTATCCAGGCTTAGGTGCTTTCAAGTTCTACTAAGGCATAAAACTTTTCCAAACAAAGACCATCCTATTTATTTTAGCCACCCTGAATTACTATTTGTCCAGAATTTTTGGAACCTACTTTCCTAAGAAATGATTAAGAAATATGCTTCATATGAATTTCCATATAGAAGATTTCCAGATTACCATATAGAGGAAAAAAACTTTTGGACTGGCATATTTTTAATACAAATTTACATCCCCATTCTATTCCACTCCATTTTATGGAAGAAGAAATACAAGAAATTACTGTTGGGATTTATCTACATTACTCAACAGAAGGAAAAGAATACATGTTGAAGTTCTAATTCTTGCTTAAATCATCATGTAAACCGAAAGGATTCAAAGTGTTTAACAAGTACTTTTAACTTAAAAACTATCATCTTCAGTACTAGTATATGTATACAATATAAAACACCTTTGTGGAGCTGGGGTTAGAGCTCAGTGGTAGAACACTGGCCTAGGATGCACACTGCCCTAGGGTTCAATCCCTAGCACTGCCAAACAAAACACCTTTGATTAAAAGTTTCCAGAAAACATATATAACCATAAATTGTTAAATTTCTGGCAAATTTCCTTCATAAAAGGGATGTTAAAAGGAATAATGTAAAAAGCTTTATTTCTGTTCATTCTACATATGCAGCAACAGTTAGAACTTAAGTTATTTTATTTCCCCTTTCATAGTTTCAAATACTACACTTCTACGCATTTAAATACCAAGGAAACAGTCTTCCTTCTTTTTCTAAACCCCTCCTTGAGACAGGGCCTCACTATAGCACAGGCTGGCCTCACTGGCTATGTACTCCAGATTTGCCAGGAACCTGTGATCCTCCTGCCTCACCCTTCCAGATGGTGGCATTAGACATGTGTACCACTACACCTGGCTTCTCATTTTTTGAACTGTAGTATACCTAGTATACTACTCTGCATATGGTAAATAATCAATAGCACAAGACTTTTTTCCACCAGTCACTCCACTATCTCCCAAAAAGTGATGATCAACAGGTCAAAAGCAATTTGTTTTATAAAACTTAACATCACCAGAGTACTAATAAGAAGTCTGCTTCTCATCTAATGAGAAAAGTGATGTTAACTAACAGAACCACTGAGAAGCAAAGAATCCATTTCATGTGTTGTTTCTACTTGAAAGTGCGTATCTACTACACAGTATGTTCAGTATAGATCCCTAAATTATAAGACACACTGAATCTAAACAAACCCTGGGGAGCTTCATTTTACTGAAAGCACTGCACTGAAACTTCTAGATGATCACAGTATCAGTACACAATTTTTCTGCTATACAAATAAAAGTTAACACTTGCAAGCCTTGCATCTGACATCCTCATACCTTTCCTAAGCCCTTTCTTATTAGCCTCCTAAAGACATTATAAAAGCCTAACATGAAACAATACCACAAACGGTGTCCAAATGATTCTAATATGAATACTGGTAGAGTGATTTCTCAATACCCAGTGGCTGCACATGACCTGTATCTTATGACTAGCTTGTTGAGAGACCAGCCCAGCTCCTGTTCAAGTTAACTGCTAGCTCCAGCCATTTCTTAAAGTTTAATAGGGAGAGGGAAGTCAAAAGGTTATGTTGAGTCTTCTCATAAAAACTTTAAAACATGTGCTATCAAAATATCACCCACCTTTAGTCCTGAAAAAGATTATTTTGCTAAAATTTTGGAAAGGTGTTTTTAAAACTATAGAAAAAGTAAATGTCTTTACCCTTGACCCCTTAGTGCACAAGTATTTTATTATTAAATAATGCTCTTCTTCCGGGACTAAAGGTCGGTCTCTGCTCTGACATGTTTGAAGTTACTAGCATTAATATTTCTTGTACTTTATACCGACTGCCAATTCAATAGCTCTTTTCTAAAGTGGGGTAAGACGTGAGAGCAAAAAGTACAAAAGTGCTGCCTCACTCACCCATCTCTCACCACATCGACGATTACTACTACCTCGGATTTCAGGACCAAACTAAATCAACTGGCTTGCCTCAACAGCCGCGTCAGCAGAGCCCCCGACCTATACTTCTTGGTACCTCCAGACTAATTTCTTGGGAAAATCTGATCTGAGCCGCCCCCACGCCCAGTACTTCGGTCCCCACTGTTGCCCAACCCAGATTCCTATACCCCGGACAGCTGCCGCCTTGGGTCCCAAGACATGGTGCGTATCTCGCCTCTCAAACTGGATCCCGGGTTACTACACGCTTTCCCGGGTCCTCTGCAGCTCCTGACAAACCCCTGGACCAGCGAGGAGGACGCCCCCCTCTCCCCCGCCGCACATTCCGCAACCCCCGCCCCGGGACGGTCAGCGCCTCCCGCCAGCCCCACCCCACCCCGGGCTGTCCGCGGCTCCACTCGCCTCGCGGCAGGTGAGTCCAGGCAGTGGGCCCTCTGCCCCGCGGGTGGCTCACCTTGCTGAGGACTCCGCAGCGCTCCACGGGCGGCCCGGACTCCGTCTCCGGGTCCTCCTCCGAGCCCGACGAGTTCCAGCTCTGGTTATCCGACATGGAGGCGCGACAGCCGAGCAGGAGACCGGCCCCTACTTCGCGAGCTGTGCCGGAGGAGGCGCCCAGTCCCTGGGGTGAAGGGTCGAAGGATGGCGAGGCGAAGAGTGCCCGCTCCGGTGCGGGAGGGAGCAGGAGGAGGGACGAAGTGTACCCGCCGCCCCGCCGCCGCCGCGCCTGACCCCGAGTGGACCGGGGAAGGAGGACGAGCGGCGAAGGAAGCCTGCCCTTCCAGCCGTCAGCCGCCGTCGCCGTGACCCCTGCGCTGCGCCTGGCGCCACCAGCCGAACCCGGCCCCCTCAATGTCAACCTCAGGGAAGGAGAAAGCGAGGAGGAAGGGAAGAGAAAAATCAGCTGTAGAGACCCTCGTCCACTCACACCTCCGCCACCGCCGCCATCTTCCTGCCTGGCCCACTATTTACCCTCCCCTCCCCTCTCCACTCCCCTCCCCTTCGTCCTCCCATTCTCCCCCGTACTCCCCGCCCCGTCCCCCTCCCGGCGTCTGACGCGACACGCCGAGGGTTCGGGATCCCCCTCCCGCTCCCTACCTCCGGCTCTCCCGGGTGACGACGGGTAGGAAAGGAGGAGCCGAGACAGGAGAGGGTGGGCTAGGGACGCCGCTGCGCTGCATTCTGGGAACGACGCTGCCCTGCCGCGCAGACTCCTGGGAATTGTAGTCGCGACACTAGGCAACGGGTGAGTGTCCCGCGTGGGGAAGGCTTGTCGCCTTGGGGACCTACAAGCGGCGAGTGGGCTTTGTTTGACAATTGCGTGGCCCTTCCCGACGGCATCGCTTCTGTCCCAACCTAGCGTGTTATGACTAGGTGCTCGCGGGCCAGACGTGAGATAACTGTCAGGTGAGGATGTTGGGGTTGTCTTCCACGACTGCTTTCCGGAAAACCTCCTGAACATTTAGGGATTTGCCTGGGCGAGAACGTACCGTGCGCTGCTGCCACAACCATGGGCTAGAGAATAGGGGTTTGTGACTTCTCCCCCAAACCATCTCCGTAAACCATGAAGGTCTTCTATCTTGTCTTTAGAAGTTAGACTTCATACTTCAAAGGCGGGTCAAAGGCGTTTCCCGCCTTTGAAGGAAGAATTCCCACAGTCTCTTCTCACAAGCCAACACTTCGCATTGCTAGATTTATGGAGTTTTTATTTTGTAAAAAGTAATCTTGAGTTTGTCAAAAATTAATGATGTTAGAAGACTTGTTTATTTTAAAATGTCAGATGATAGCTTGGAGTTTTTTCTTAGTTGTGAATGAGTATCTTTTCAGACCCATGTTAACCATCTCTACCCATCTACCTTCCCCTGAAAGATACAAAATGCGAACTGAGGGTGTGGCTTAAGTGGTAGATGACCTGCCCAACATGCTCAAGGCCCTTAGTTCAAACCCCAGGACCACCAAAGCAAAAACAACCAAACCAAGCCGGGTTTGTTGTTGCATGTCTATAATCGAAGCTGCTGGGTAGGCAGAGGTGGTAGGATCAAGATCATGGTCTGACACTGGCCCCTGCAAAAGCACCAGACCCTCTCTGAAAGACAGGCTATAAGCAAAAAAGGACGGGGATCCTTGTGGAGCATGAAGTTCTGCGTTCAATCTCCAGGACTACTAAAAAAGAAAAAAGCAATAGTTTTGTTGAATAATAAGGGTTTAGGCAATAGGAAGCTGGTTTTGTTTTAAGATTGGAATTAGTGGAAAGAGCAATAAAAGATCTAACATCTTGTCAGCGATCTTTTGTGTTCATTACATTAACTTTTATTGTGAGACCTTTGACCTTGTACCTTCAATTCTTTCCTCCCTCTGGTGTGTTTATGTCTTGTTGATTTCCTGATAATTGCCAACAGTGAATTTTCTTATATTAAAGCATAGAAAGAATGCATGCTTGCTACCAGGATGGTAGGAGGAAATTTTGAGATGAAGGGAAAAAGGCACAATTAAGGTAGCCATGGAAGAGGCCAATTTAACTGGTATCTTCAGGAAAAAAAAATACAGAATCAGAAGTGCCCCTGAGTTATGCCTGTAATTTCTTTCATTTTCCTAGGTTGACACCTAGTAGATACTAATTTTGCTATAAGTCAGTTATAAATCATTTTCTCATTGTGAAATCATGATAAGGCATAATTGAAAGACATTCAGGTGAATAAAACTTTAAGGGATAGAGCTTTTGAAAATACTTCGTCAAAATGTTAAAACAGTCCCAAGGTTGTTTCAAAAAGAAAAAAGGAACACTCACTTAGAACATTTTTCTCTTTACTGAGTTACAAAAAATACACCTTTAGAATATTATTTTGTTTTGGCTTGCTATTGCCTAATATGGTTAGACTTCCTATTTCTGATGTTTTTAAGGACTAGGTTTTAAAATCACTACTCTTTACGTAAATTATTGTGAAGTATTGAGAAATTCACTTCATAATGCAATTTAGAAACATAGTATATGTACAACTTTCTATTGTATTTTATGTCTTTCTAGGTTATGTGTAATTGTAACCACCAGGACTTAGGTCACTAAGTGCCCACTTACTCAGTGGGAAATTGCTTCATTATATTTGGTATTAATGTGAGAGAACGTGCCTTTTTAAAAAGCGTTTTTGCTACATTGTTCCTTTATACCTTTAAGACTAAAATATTTTTTAAGTGAAGAGATTTTGACATAATGGATAGAATACTGAATTAGAGGTTAAGATTTACTTCATTACTGTTAATGGAAGGAAATGGCAATATAAGAATAAAATACGTAAGTTTTCTTAATTCACTGATGTCAATGATAGCTTTTAGAGTTGTCTTTTACTTCCCCAACCCTCTTATAATGTTCAATATATTCTATTATTAATTTATTTGTACTTTTTGAACTTGAATCCACCTGGGATTTATTTTAGTATTTGGAATGAGGTAGAAATTGAATTGGCTTTTAAACATGGCCACTTGGCCCAGCACTTTACTGAATAGTTTATTCTTACCCTTATACCTTTTAGATATGCAAAATTCCCATATGTAGGCCTGTTTCTGGGCCCCATTCTTTTTTCATTGATCTGTTTATCTATGTCTATGCTAATATCATACTGATATAATTACTACTTAACTTTATACTATTTTCATATTTGCAAAATTCTCCTGATGTTCTTTTTCATGCGGATACTTTTTTGTATCTTTTCTTCCAGATGAATTTTATTTAATTTTTTTTCCTTTTTCTTTTATTATTCATATGTGCATACAAGGCTTGGTTCATTTCTCCCCCCTGCTCCCACCTCCTCCCTTACCACCCACTCCGCCCCCTCCCTCTCCCCACCCCCAATACCCAGCAGAAACTATTTTGCCCTTATCTCTAATTTTGTTGTAGAGAGAGTATAAGCAATAATAGGAAGGAACAAGGGTTTTTGCTGGTTGAGATAAGGATAGCTATACAGGGCATTGACTCACATTGATTTCCTGTGTGTGGGTGTTACCTTCTAGGTTAATTCTTTTTGATCTAACCTTTTCTCTAGTACCTGTTCCCCTTTTCCTATTGGCCTCAGTTGCTTTTAAGGTATCTGCTTTAGTTTCTCTGCATTAAGGGCAACAAATGCTAGCTAGTTTTTTAGGTGTCTTACCTATCCTCACCCCTCCCTTGTGTGCTCTCGCTTTTATCATGTGCTCATAGTCCAATCCCTTGTTGTGTTTGCCCTTGATCTAATGTCCACATATGAGGGAGAACATACGATTTTTGGTCTTTTGGGCCAGGCTAACCTCACTCAGAATGATGTTCTCCAATTCCATCCATTTACCAGCGAATGATAACATTTCGTTCTTCTTCATGGCTGCATAAAATTCCATTGTGTATAGATACCACATTTTCTTAATCCATTCGTCAGTGGTGGGGCATCTTGGCTGTTTCCATAACTTGGCTATTGTGAATAGTGCCGCAATAAACATGGATGTGCAGGTGCCTCTGGAGTAACAGTCTTTTGGGTATATCCCCAAGAGTGGTATTGCTGGATCAAATGGTAGATCGATGTCCAGCTTTTTAAGTAGCCTCCAAATTTTTTTCCAGAGTGGTTGTACTAGTCTACATTCCCACCAACAGTGTAAGAGGGTTCCTTTTTCCCCGCATCCTCGCCAACACCTGTTGTTGGTGGTGTTGCTGATGATGGCTATTCTAACAGGGGTGAGGGGGAATCTTAGCGTGGTTTAATTGCTAGAGATGGTGAGCATTTTTTCATGTGTTTTCTGGCCATTTGAATTTCTTCTTTTGAAAAGTTCTGTTTAGTTCACTTGCCCATTTCTTTATTGGTTCATTAGTTTTGGGAGAATTTAGTTTTTTAAGTTCCCTGTATATTCTGGTTATCAGTCCTTTGTCTGATGTATAGTTGGCAAATATTTTCTCCCACTCTGTGGGTGTTCTCTTCAGTTTAGAGACCATTTCTTTTGATGAACAGAAGCTTTTTAGTTTTATGAGGTCCCATTTATCTATGCTATCTCTTAGTTGCTGTGCTGCTGGGGTTTCATTGAGAAAGTTCTTACCTATACCTACTAACTCCAGAGTATTTCCTACTCTTTCTTGTATCAACTTAAGAGTTTGGGTCTGATATTAAGATCCTTGATCCATTTTGAGTTAATCTTGGTATAGGGTGATATACATGGATCTAGTTTCAGTTTTTTGCAGACTGCTAACCAGTTTTCCCAGCAGTTTTTGTTGAAGAGGCTGCTATTTCTCCATCGTATATTTTTAGCTCCTTTGTCAAAGATAAGTTGCTTATAGTTGTGTGGCTTCATATCTGGGTCCTCTATTCTGTTCCACTGGTCTTCATGTCTGTTTTTGTGCCAGTACCATGCTGTTTTTATTGTTATTGCTTTGTAATATAGTTTGAAGTCAGGTATTGTGATACCTCCTGCATTGTTCTTTTGACTGAGTATTGCCTTGGCTATTCGTGGCCTCTTGTGTTTCCATATAAATTTCACAGTAGATTTTTCAATCTCTTTAATGAATGTCATTGGAATTTTGATGGGAATTGCATTAAACATGTAGATTACTTTGGGAGTATCGACATTTTTACTATGTTGATTCTACCAATCCATGAGCATGGGAGATCTCTCCACTTTCTATAGTCTTCCTCAATCTCTTTCTTCAGAAGTGTATAGTTTTCCTTGTAGAGGTCTTTCACATCTTTTGTTAGGTTTACACCTAGGTATTTGATTTTTTTGAGGCTATTGTAAATGGAATTGTTTTCATACATTCTTTTTCCGTTTGCTCATTGTTAGTGTATAGAAATGCTAATGATTTTTCTATGTTGATTTTATATCCTGCTACCTTGCTATAGCTATTGATGATGTCTAGAAGCTTCTGAGTAGAGTTTTTTGGGTCTTTAAGGTATAGGATCATGTCGTCTGCAAATAGGGATATTTTGACAGTTTCTTTACCTATTTGTATTCCTTTTATTCCT